TCTGCAGACCCAGAGATAAATAAGGACAAACCCTTGGTGCCTATTATCCTCTCCTGGCCATTAAAACCCGGGCAATTCTTGATTCTGGGGCCGCAGGCTTGTTTATAGATTGTGCATTTGCATCAGAGCACTCTATACCCTTACAGCCTCGCAACTCCCCACTAGCTTTCGAAGCCATCGATGGCCGACCTATACAGCCAACCCTCGTGACCCAGGAAACCGTGCCCATATCTCTGGCTGTAGGGGCTCTACATCATGAGATGATCCAATTCCAGGTCATTTCCTCTCCATACTACCAGGTTGTTTTGGGATACCCTTGGCTACAGAAGCATAACCCCACAATTGATTGGCACAAATCTGAGATATTATCTTGGTCCCAGCAATGCACATTTTCCTGTCTCCGGAAACCGGTCAAAGTTTTGGGCACAGTTTCGGCCTCTTCCTTACCCGCTGAGTACCAAGAATTCCAAGATGTATTTGACAAAGGTCAAGCTAGTGTTCTGCCACCACACCGTCCGTATGACTGTGGTATCGAACTCCAACCTGGTGCCAATCCTCCCCGTGGACGGGTTTACCCGCTGTCTGTAGCAGAGAATCGAGCCATGGAGGAGTATGTTACTGATGCGTTGTCAAAGGGATTCATTCGGAAGTCATCTTCTCCTGCCGGGGCCGGCTTTTTCTTTGTGAAAAAGAAGAGTGGTGAGTTGAGACCCTGTATCGACTATAGGGGTCTCAATCGCATTACTATTAAGAATGCCTACCCCATTCCATTGATCACAGAGTTATTTGACCGCCTCAAGGGAGCAACGGTCTTCACTAAACTTGATCTGAGAGGGGCATATAATCTTGTCCGGATAGAAGAGGGCCACGAATGGAAAACCGCATTTAACACCAGGAGCGGGCATTACGAATACCTAGTAATGCCCTTTGGTCTTTGCAACGCTCCGGCGGTTTTCCAGGAATTTATAAATGACGTCCTGCGAGATATGCTGCAGCAATGTGTGGTGGTTTATCTTGATGATATTCTTATGCATTCCACATCTCTCGAGAACCACCACGCAGACGTTTCTAGTGTTCTACAGAGACTTAGAGAAAATAATCTGTTCTGTAAATTGGAGAAATGTGAGTTCAATTGCAAACAGGTCACATTCTTGGGCTATGTTATCTCTGATGCTGGATTCTCTATGGACCCAGAAAAACTTTCTGCTGTACTAAAATGGCCTCAACCTACGGGTCTTCGCTCTATACAGCGTTTTCTTGGCTTCGCCAATTATTATCGGAAGTTCATACGCAACTTTTCCTCCTTGGTTAAACCACTCACGGATATGACCAGGAGAGATGCTGATCCACAGCATTGGTCACAGGAAGCCATTTCTGCCTTTGAGTCTCTCAAAGTCGCCTTTGCTGCTGCTCCTATACTGGCACACCCTAACCCTGCCTTACCATTCATTCTTGAAGTCGATGCGTCTGAGACAGGAGTAGGCGCCCTCCTGTCTCAACGTCCTAACCCAGAGAGCTCCAGGCATCCGTGCGGGTATTTCTCGAAGAAATTAAACCCGGCGGAATGCAATTACCAGATTGGTGATAGAGAACTTCTAGCCATAATATTAGCTCTCAAAGAATGGAGGCACCTTCTTGAGGGTACTTCAGTACCAATTCTCATCCTCACAGACCACAAGAATCTGACATATCTTTCCGAAGCTAAGCGACTTTCCCCCAGGCAAGCTAGATGGGCTCTCTTCCTATCAAGATTCAATTATGTGGTTTCTTACTTGCCCGGTACTAAAAACATTCAGGCTGATGCCTTGTCTCAACAGTTCTCCCCTCCATCTAGAGAGGAGATAACCCCTACTCCTGTGATTCCTCCGGACCATATACTGGCCACCATCCGTACTAGCCTCACCTCACACCTAGGCGAGGAGATTCTGGCTGCACAAAGTAATGCTCCTCCAGAGAAACCTAATGGCCGTTGTTTTGTTCCTATTCATCTCCGTACTAAATTATTAAGTACTTATCACAACCCCAAAACAGCTGGACATCCAGGCAAAAACCAATTAATCTGGTCCGTCTCTCGGCAATTTTGGTGGCCTAGTCTCCGTTCGGATGTCACTGCTTTTGTAGCTGCCTGTCCTGTATGCGCTCAAAATAAAACCCCACGACACCCTCCAGTGGGTCTCCTGCAAACCATACCTAATGGTGAACGACCCTGGACCCACTTGTCCATGGATTTTATCGTAGATCTTCCGGTCTCCTGTGGCAATACAGTTGTTCTCATGGTTGTTGATCGATTCTCAAAGATGTCGCATTGCATTCCCTTGAAAAAACTACCAACTTCTCAGGAACTTGCAACAATTTTTGCTCGGGAGGTCTTTCGTTTGCATGGGTTACCCAAAGTGATAATCTCGGATAGGGGTAGCCAGTTTGTGTCCAGATTTTGGAGAGCTTTTTGTACACAAATGGGAATTCAGCTTTCCTTCTCCTCTGCCTACCACCCGCAATCCAATGGTGCCGCGGAACGAGCTAACCAAACACTGGAACAGTTTCTGTGTTGCTACATTTCTGACCACCAGAACAACTGGTCTGATCTGCTACCCTGGGCGAAGTTTGCCCACAATAGTGCGATTAATGCCTCTTCCCGGCTATCCCCGTTCTTGGCGAACTATGGCTTTCAACCGTCCATATTGCCTGATACGTTCATGCCACAGGGGATACCAGCATTGGAGGAACATCTCAGGGAACTCCGTTCCACTTGGGTGCAGGTTCAGTACTCTTTGCAACGCGCAATGCAGAACTACAAACACCAGGCCGACCGCAGACGCCTTCCTGCACCTACCTATCAAGTCGGAGAGAAGGTCTGGCTGTCTTCTCGCAACCTACGGCTCCGTGTTCCCTCACAAAAACTGGCACCCCGATACGTTGGGCCATTTCGTATACTTCGAAGGGTTAACCCTGTAGCTTACGCACTTGACCTTCCTGCTAACATGCGCATCTCTAATGTATTCCATGTTTCCCTCTTGAAACCATTGGTATGTAATCGTTACACCACCTCAGTACCACGTCCACGTCCTGTTCCGGTTGACAATCATGAGGAATATGAAATACGCAGCATCATTGACTCACGAGTCTTCAGAGGACAGATCCAATACTTGGTGCACTGTAAAGGGTACGGTCCAGAGGAACGCTCCTGGGTTCCAGCCTCTGATGTCCATGCACCATCCCTCCTTCGTTCCTATCACGCTCGCTTCCCATGAAGCCCGGACCCACCAGCAGAGATGGGGGGAGTCGTTGAGGGGGAGGTACTGTCAGGGTTTCTTTGCTGTTTTAAACAGCCACCCTTCCTTTTTCAGTGTCTGGGGTTTCAGCTGTAATTAACAATCAGCTCCTTCAGCATGTTGCCACGGTTACTCACCTGAGAATAGTAATCAACCCTGCTGCAAATCAGTTCAGCCTATTTAAGCAGCAAATCCCAGAACCTCCTTGCCCTTGCGTGGTTTCCTGTCCCCCAGAAGTCTCCTTGTTCCTGTGTTTCCTATTTGCTCCTGGTTTCTGACTCTGGCCTTGTTCCTGACTCCGCTGCTCTCCATTCTCCTGATCCTGGCTCGTCTGACTACCCGCTCTGGTGACTGACCCCTGCTTGCCTCCTGGACTTTGCTTTTGGTTATTTCTTTGTTATTTATTAAATAAAGGTGTTTTTGCATCTAGATCTGTCTCTGTCTGGTTCCTGGTTCCTGACAGGGAGTGAGGCATGGGAGGGCAGCAGCCTATAGATTAGGGGAGTGAGCATGGGGGGGCAGCCTATAGATTAGGGAAGTGAGCATAGGCGTGCGCAGCCTATTGCATTAGGGTGTGCACCCTAAAGCACACACGCCATGTGTATATGTATGTGTGTGTGTGTGTGTGTGTGTGTATATATATATACACTGCTGTGTGTGTGTGTGTGTGTGAGGGTGCTCTTAGTGTGCTGTGTGTGAGGGTGCTGTTTGTGAGGGAACTGGTAGTGTGCTGAGTGTGTGTGTGTGTGAGAGGGTGTTTGTGTGTGCGTGTTTGTTTGGGTCCTGTTAGTGTGCTGTTTGTGTGCGGGTGTTGTGCGGGTGTTGTGTGTGGGTTTTGTGTGTTTGTGAGGATGCTGTTAGTGTGCTGGGTGTGTGTGGGTGTTGTATGTGTGTGGGTGCTGTGTGTGCGAGGGTGATGTATGTGTGTAGGTGCTGTGTGTGTGTGTGGGTGCTGTTTGTGGGCTGTGTGTGCTGTATGTGTGTGTGCTGTATGTTTGGGCGGAGGTGGGGGCAGACTAGTTAATTTCCCAGTCCTGCTGCCTTCCCTGGTGGTTCAGTGGAGAGTGAACTCTAGCCCGGGTTCTCTGCTGCCTCCCTCCATGCTGCTGTGGACCGGTGAGGTAGAACTTTGATCTCCCCACCTGCCTATGGAGGCTTAGACCAGAGCCGCCGCTCGGATAGCGTCGGCTCTGCATGAGCCGACCGGGGAGATCCAGAGATCTCCCCTGCCGGTCTCAATCCATTGGCGGGGATTAGGGTGTGCCCAGGCACACCCGACACACCCCGTGCGCACGCCTATAGAAGTGAGGGATGGGGGAGACAGCCTACATGAAGAGTCAGCAAGGAGCAGGAAGGTAAGGTAAGAAAAGGAGAAGGAACAGAAATGAGCAGGAAGGGACATCAAGGAGCAGAAAGGGGCAGCAAGGAGCTGGAAGGGACAGCAAGGAGCACAAAAGGTAAAGTAGGAGAAGGAGCACAAAGGAACAGAAATGAACAGGAAGGGTCAGCAAGGAGCTGGAAGGTAAAGCAGCACAAAGGTAAAGTAGAAGGAGCAGAAAGGGTCAGAAATGAGCTGGAAGGGGCAGAAGGAGCACAAAGGTAAAGTAGGAGAATGAGCAGGAAGGGCCTGCAAGGAGCAGGAAGGGGCAGCAAGGAGCACAAATGGACAGCAAGGAGCACAACGGTAAAGGATCAGAAGGAGCACAAAGGTAAAGTAGGAGAAATAGCAGAAAGGGACAGCAAGGAGCACAAAGGTAAAGTAGAAAAGGGAGCAGAAAGGGGCAGCAAGGAGCACAAAGATAAAGTAGAAAAGGGAGCAGAAAGGGGCAGCAAGGAGCACAAAGTTAAAGTAGAAAAGGGAGCAGAAAGGGTCTGCAAGGAGCAGAAAGGGATCAGAATGAGAAAGGAGCAGAAGGGCGCAAAATAAGCAGAAAGTAGCAGAAAGGTAAAAGAGCAGAAGGGGCCAAGGATAGAAAACAGTGTCAGAAGAAAAAAAAAGACTGTCAAATGAAGGAGAGGAAAAGGAGATTGGAGCAGGAAGGACAAATGAAGTGAACCCTCCACTTTATTCTGGACACCACATCATAAGGCTTTGGTACCAGGGCCAGGCAGGGAAACACTGGACCTTCTCATCTCCAAAGGTAAAAAAATATCAGTATTAATGTGTTCACTTTTATTTACTGAGTGTCAGGAAGCACAGAGTGCCGTTGGGTAGGGGTGTTGCTGATTGGCTAGAGCGGTCAGTTGGCACTCTAAGCCAATCAGTAGCTCCCCATTCATAAAAAAGTAAAAATATTTTATGAAACGGGAACTAGCGATTGGCTTAGAGCGTCAACTGTCCACTCTAGCCAATCAGCGGCACCCATGCCTGACGTCAATCTGCACTTCCTGACACTCTGTTTCAGAAGCCAAATACCAATGAGAGACCTGGAGCTGGAGGAAGCCTTTGGGGTTAAACCATTTGAGAGCGATTTAACCCCTTAAAGGAAAGCCAGCACCCAGGGGCTTCCTGGCATCATAGCATTTTCATTTAGGTGAAGTTGTTATGGTGACCAGAATGGTCCTTTAATTTGCTTAAAGGAACACTATAGTGTCAGGAATACAAACATATATTCCTGACACCATAGTTGTGAAAACGCTATTCACCCTGGCTTTATGTGATAAGGGCTATGCCCCTTCCCTTTCATGACACTGTCAAAAAGGTACCAAGCATGGATGTCATTACAATTATGCCCCCCCCCTGGAAAAATTCCTGCGGACGCCCTTGCTCATTAGTATCTACTTTATTTTCAAGGTTGAATTATTCCCAGCATGTATTGGCCATTTACAATAAAGCCAACTATATCCTGGTTACCTTTCATTATCCCTTTACCTTTTGGATTATAGTAAAAGGCAGAGGAATCGCCTTACAAGGCTAGATTGGCACTGCATATGCTCTATTACCAGTTGTTACTCCTTGTATTTTTATGTTACCATTACTTTCATTATAGCCATTTCACACTCCATTAATTCAAGAAACTGTTTAATATCCAGGGGGGCTCCGTTTTAAACTTGTGAAGATGTTCTCGCCCTGCTTTTTCTTTTTCTGTATGTGTTAGTATATATATCTATGTGTGTGTGTGTGCATGTTTCTGTCTTTGAGTTTGTATGTGTTAGTGTGTATCTCTTTGTCAGTGTGTGTGTGTATGTGTCAGTATGTATGTGTGTGACTGTGTATGTATATGTTTTTTTGACTGTGTGTATGCATCAGTGTGTGTATCTGCATGTGTATATGTGTATATATCCCAGCAATAAAATGTCATCCCTACATACAAACACAGTCTTGCAATAAAACACAAACATTGTGTACAGATACACCCTAGCAGTCAAACACCAACTTTATCAATAAACAAACCCCTTAATTCAAACACCAATTCAACACACAAATGTACACTCACAATTAAAAACCAACACTACATACAAACATACCAATGCATTTAAACACAAACATTACAAATAAACACACCCCTGTAGTAAATGCCAAAAGTATATACAAAACCCCCTACATTCAAACACCAACATTACACATATAAGTACAACTGCGTACCTGAAAATGAAAGAAATCTCAATTAATCCTTGTTGTTAAAATATTTTTCAAATAAATATGTGAAGGAATACTCCATCACTTGTATCAGCATCATTCCCTTTTTGAATTTTCGTTCGAACCTTCTAGTTTGGTTACCGAACGAGGGCCACCCCAGCACCCCATTAGAACGTGGAATACCAATTATCAAGTGGCCGCCATTTCGTGCAACCGTACACACATAGTCAACAGAATGGATGGCGGCCATTTTGTCTCCCGAACACAGGCAGCGGTGCATGGTCGTCAAGTGCCTGGAAGAGAAAAGAGTGCCTCTTTTCGGCTTGGCACTAGGGGGAACACCGGTGAAGATGGAGCTGCTGCCCATCCTTGTTCCCGACATAGAAACATAGAAACATAGAATGTGACGGCAGATAAGAACCATTCGGCCCATCTAGTCTGCCCAATTTTCTAAATACTTTCATTAGTCCCTAGCCTTATCTTATAGTTAGGATAGCCTATCCCATGCATGCTTAAACTCCTTTACTGTATGTGACCAGCTATATGAATGGCGTTAGGGAGATAGAAACTACCAAATGGGGGGAGCATTTGCTACTTGGAGGCAGTCGGCTGTATTGTTTGGTTTTCGTACAGGAACCCTGAACAGAGACCGGCCGTTGCCATCATTTCCCTGGAACTATTTGGGGTTTTTACTTCGTGGTCGACCGGTCAAAACTTTACCCAGTGGCGATTCCATACCACCAAACTGATCTGAGCTCTTTTTGGACAACTTGGGCACTCAGATCAGGGCTATCCGGGGATGTGACTTTTGTGGAGTTCCCATGTATATTTGGGGTACATTTGATTTATGTTTTTTCTGTACCTGAGAAATAGTTGAGTTATAGTTTCCTGACTCAGTTATAACTCAGGCACAGGGAGGAGCTTGCTGTATTTCTGTAAGGGAACCCTCTGCTGGGGGTGTGTGTATAAATTGAGCGTGCTTGCCTGGAATAAACAGATCTACTCCCAGCATTCAGTATCGACTAATGTATGGGAGGAAGGCTACACCAGTTATATTCACTTTAACTACTTGATAGAGCTACTTCACACTAGGGAAAGGAGTCCGTGGTGGCGATATACTGGCGGTCCACCACAAAATATATAAATTAAATTTAGCCAACCTACATACAAACACACCCCTGAATTCAAGCATAAACATTACATTGAAGTCCATCACTGCATTCCAATGGCAACGGTGTATACAAATACACCCCTAAATGCACATATACTCCATACAAAAACATGATTACATTCAAATACGCTAACATTGCTCACAAATACAATCCTTCAAGGATGGGCAAGTGGGAGATTTCCAGCTGGAATAGCATTGTGGGGGACCTTTTGGTCACCCTTGCGCTAGATGGGGGACCAAACACATTTCTTGAACCAGGGCACCCACTACATTAGTTCTGCCACTAAGAGGACTTGATATGTAACCATCAGGAAGTGGTTTACTCTTTGACATAAATACAATAAAAACTACAGTATTAATACAGAGTTTGGTATGTTCAAAGGTTCACAGTGTTTTAAAAGGAAACATTCTGCATTTATGCAATATTTGTTTTTTCACTTGTAAATGTATAGTTCTGTAATTTTTTCAGTGATGTTGCCAAAATAAATTGAATTTATTTATTTCATTTTGAGTGCTTCACTGATTATATACTCTTTGCTCTAATATTGATTTTCCCAAGCTTTCCGTGCACAGAATTAGGAGGAGCACTTTGCCAGATTATTATGTTGTGATTAAGCGGAATTAGAAAAAAAAATGTCTTTGTGACAAACTCCCCTTTTCAAATGAATCTGCCACGAGTTCCTGGAGGAGCCTACTTGCCAGCCTCCTGCCCACAGACTGTGGACCCTGTGAAATATAATGTAAATATCTCCATTCGTGTATTTGGACTATATGGTTCGGAGCCCTGGAGCTTGTTAAGCCTAATTGCTACTTTGTAACAAATTTCCACCTCAGTGTTCTAAGTGTTCGTCTGGGTGGCTGCATTTCCTATGGACGACCACAAGGTGGCAGCCCTCTTGTTCCCTTGAACGCAGGCAGCGGTGTTTGTTTGTCGTGTTCATGGAACT